CCAGGCCACATACCCTCACGTCAGACACTTCATTGACAAGTGTGCTGGCGAAGATAAGGGCCTGCTCAGTAGAGCCGCGGATACGGCAGCCAGGCTGGTGCCGGCGCCGGCGCTTCTGGAGCGGGAGGCGGCGCGAACACCTCACTTAACTACGGCTACGATAATGGCGGAGGCGGCGGTGGGCTCGGGCCGAGGTGCTTACGCCGGGTGATACCTCACGAGAAACCTAAAACATGGAAAATTCAGCGCATATTGCATTGGCTTCTTCATACAAGGGCTGGATTGCGGCTCATAATGATACAAAAAAAAAGGAAGCCTCGTTAACCCGCATTCCAAAACATCCATCCTTCACGGTCCTTAGGCCCGCCTATGCCGACCAACTGCTCGATGGCGCGGGCGTCGGGAGCGCCTTCAAACTGGTCCTGGTCGATCTCCTCCATCCTCCCGTCGGGGCCGTTTCTAAACACGGCGGGCCAGAGCACGCCGACCCCGGCGGCGCCCAGGAAAGCCTCGTGCTTCTGGAAGCCCTCCTTGTTGAGCTTCTGCTCCAGTAGCCCCACGGCGTTCTCGTCGACGCCCGGCCGGGCCAACACGATGGCGCACCCGCCGCTCCCCGCGCCCGTGAGTTTGGTCCAGCCGACGCCCGTGTGGTCCGCGAGCTCGCAGACGCGGTCGAGGCAGGGGTGCGAGGCCCCGAGCGCCATCAGCAGCCCGTGGTTGACGCAAAACAACCTCCCCAGGCTCCCGACCGCGTCGTCGTCGTCGTCGTCGTCGTCGTCGTCGCCGCGGCGCCGGCCGGCGCCGTTGCCAAAGCTCGCGGCGGAGGAGGATACGAACTTTAACGCCTCCTCGGTGAGGGCTCCGATGGCGTCCAGGATCAGCCCGACGGTCGCGGGGTGGGAGGCCCTCAGCGCCCGCACCTTTTCCACCTGCGCGGCCGTGGTGCGCGGCTGCTTGGTGTCGACGAGGAGGAGCCGCAGCCTCGGGAAGCCAACCAGCGGGGTCACCGACGACGGCCCGCCGTCGGGGCTCTTGAGGAAAAGCACGGCCTTGCCCCGGCACGAGACTGTGTTGTCCACCCCGCTCGGGTCCCCGTGGATGCACAGCTCCCCCGCGTAGGCCCAGCTGTTGATGCGTTCGATTTGCTTTTCGGCTTCGTCGAGGGGCTGGTCGCGGTGCGGTCCCGCCAGGGCCTGTGTCTGGAGGAGCAGCGCCGTGCTCAGGCAGACGCACACGCTCGCGCTGCTGCCCAGGCCGGCGCCGACCGGGATGGTGGACCGGAGCGTGTAGTCGAAGCCGGGGCTGTGCCGGGAGCCCAGGGAGAGGAAGAGGTAGAGGAAGGCAGTCGCGGAGTGTATGTGTATCTTGCGATCCTTGTAGTCGTCCGCGAGGTGCGGCGACACGGCGCCCGCGTGCGGCTTGATGGCGTCGAGCAGTCCCTGGTCGAGGGAGTCGACGCGAGAGTGGTAGAACTTTCTCTTGGAGGGCAACTGGAAGGCGTCCCACGGGAGGGAATCGATCGCCCACTTGTGGTGCAGACCAATGTCTCGAAAGTTTAGAGTGACGGTGCGTTGGGATTTGGAAAGGGTCCTGACGAGGAGGTAGGACCTCAGCGAAATGGCCGCGGCGATGGCCGGTTTGCCGTACACCGCCGCGTGTTCGCCGAAAACGATGACCTTTCCCGGTGCCGACACCATAAATGGAGGCGCCAGGGCCGACGACTCTTTTCTTTCCATATTGGAACGGGCCCGATTGCGATGATGCATGCACTGATTTGCTTGGCCTGGACCCGGGGCTATGTTCCGCCACAGTGCTAGTCTAGGGAAAGCGGAGCAACTTCAGACGCCACATGGGGAGTGATCCCAGACGACAAGACGGGATGATCACATTGGATGCACTCCAATTGACCAACGGCGAACAGACAGCCAACTTGTAATCTACACGCTGCATACTATCGGAACTCTCTACTCCCTCCATTTCTCGCGCGCCAGTTCAATTCTACGAGTTTTTTTAAAGGGTTTCAACTTGTCGACATTCAACTTTCCCATGTCCCCGTCTGAGTGGGCCATGGTGCAGCTGGGGCAATGTCCGGGACAGCAGTACTAGCACGCGGGAATAAAACGGGAATTGTCCGTTACCATAAATGCAGGGTGAGTGCAGGGTAACCCACTTTTAAATCTCCCCGGAAATTCGCAGACAGATTGGTGGGGCCTCCGGCGTCCGTCAAAACAAGCCCAGCTCTCACTTTGCGCGAACCCTCCCTCTCACTGACACCCTCGGAGCGATTGAGCATCTTCTTCTTTAGCATCCAAATGAACATTTCTAATGAATCCGGCCTTTTTAAGGAGCGGCTAACGGTCGATCTTCCGACGCCAGCCGCCATCAGGGCCATCAATCTAGCGTCGGGGCATATCCGCGCACGAAACTTCAATCGCCCCCCACCCGTTAAAATCCCTTCACTTAAGTTGGTCGTTAAGTATGGAGCCGACGTGGAAATTGCGGAAGCTCGGACGCAGATGATGGTACGCGAACGATTTCGCGGTCGAGTACCTGTCCCCGAGGTCTTTGCCTGGGCCGAGGATGAGGGATAGGGTTTTATTTACATGTCGCTGGTCGAGGGTGAGACCTTGCAAGAGAGGTGGGGGAACATGAATGAACTTGAGAGGCAGGCCATCTGTGCAGAGCTGAAGTTGATGGCAAAGGCATGGAGGACCTTGAAGCAAGATGGGCAGCAGCCGTATATCGGTAAGCGGATTACCTTGGAACAGCGTCTGCACATCTGACAAGAAACTCTTCTCAACAGGCGGTCCCGACAGACAACCTCTGAATGACATCTTTTTGGCATCCCGTCCGGAACTCTCTGGGCTGTTCCAAGGTGTCGACGCTGTCCAGGAGTTTCAAGAAGCCTGCGGTATCGCCATCGGTGCTGAGGCGTCCATTGTGTTCACTTACGATGATCTAGTCCCGCCAAACATCCTGCTGTCGCCAGGGCCCAACCCAAAAGTGGAGGCGGTTATTGATTGGGCCCAGGCGGGGTGGTATCCCTCGTACTGGGAGTATTGCAAGGCTCGGCGAGTGAGACTGGACCCGGAGTGCATCAGCGATGCCATGCAGGAGGAATGGCGAGACAAGTATCTGCCCATGATTCTTGATCCCGTGGATGACGAAACTTACTACCATCCGTGGCTGTATTTCGTCCTTTCAAAGGGAATCTGACTATATGACATGGCAGCCATGAAGTTTGATTGCTAGTGAGAGTTGTACTGCTAG